GCCCTGCATGATACAATCAAATGAAAACAGAGAACACTGACAAGATGTGTTTTCCTCCATGCTAATGTCTCTACTTACAAATCACAGAAATATCATGTTGCTGTGTCAGATTGCAGCTTTCAGGAGCTCAGTGACCCACTGTAGTCTGGAGCCAGACTAAAGCAACTACAGGTGTCCAGATGAAAGGTATCCAAAGTAAAAGAATTATATCTCAGAAAGCATATATTATACACATTTATGGGTTACACAATTACAAAGGGAAACTATGAAAGTTCTTTATGAGTATATAACTTTCTCAATAAATTTCAACGTGGACTCCCTTGGTCGCACAACAAACATCCAGACAATATTCTACCTCGTTCCATGTTACTTTAAGTATGTTTGGTGTTACAATAGCCAGAGTCTTTTACGCGAGCTTTCAGGTGTTGAAGGTCATTGATCTTAAACTGGTAGATAATTTTCTTCACATAACACCACAAGAAAAAAATCCAATGGGGTTAAATCTGGTGATCTAGGAGGCCAAGCAATTGGTCCACCTTTGCCAATCTATCTCTCTGTCCAGGTGATTTCTAACATGATGGCAGAAATGTGGCTGCACCCCATCTTGTTGGGGGATAGTTGGAGGTGGTAACTGGGGCAGAGCATACAGCTCCAGCACGTCCATGTACGAACGTCCAGTCACAGTCTTTTCCAAAGAGAAAAACAGTCTAATCAACTTGTCATGCATTAAGATGGCCCACACATTCACTCTGGGGCTACTTCTCTCCAACTCACATGTGGCATGTGGATTTTGACTGCCCCAACTCCTGCACAGAACATCACCTCAACCTAGAAGCAAATTTGGCAGAGGAAACCAGATGATGCATCAGTTCTTTCTAGCATGTCCACAGAAGAGTTTGTGTGCGCTACTTTGTCATTCAGTTTTAGTGCATGAATCATTTGAATCTTGTATGCTCTTAGGTGGAGCCTTTTGTGTAACACATCATGCACTGTTGAACATGGAATTTGTAACTGCAAGCTAGCCGCACCAATTGATTTGCACAGACTTCACTGGAATGCCTCTGTAATGTGATTGACGTTTTTCTCAGAGATCTGTCTCTTTCCACAAAATTTTACATGCAACAGACTACCTCTAGTCCTCAGTTTGTTGTCCCAAAATGCTTTTCCGTGTAAGAGGTTGACATCCATATTGCATTGTAAAATGATGTTGGACATCCAAAAGAGATTACAACTCTGCTAGCCACAACACACATTGAACCTGTTCTTGTGGTGTCAACATCATTACTAACCTCACTGATGGTCACCAGCTGGTGCATGTGCGTAAGCCAGGAATGAAAAAGAACTTTCAGAATTTTCCTTTATGAAGACATAAACCAGATACATGTATAACACTTAGTTTCTGAGATATCAATTTTTTGTTTTGGATACCTTTCATCCAGACACCCTGTATTTCCTATTCAGATTACAGAAGGAATTTCTTCTGGGAATGTCTTTTTAGCAAGGGTGAAATGACAGATACTATTCTGACTTCAATCTCAAAATACTGACTTGTGCTGTGAGGGGATAAAGTTTTTAAACTGAAAGTGAAACAAGTGGCATATGGATGAAAGGTTGTCCTACATGACAGGAATGTTCAGCTTTCAGTACTACTGCCAGATCATGTGAACATGATTTGGAAATGTATAGTTTATGATGTACAAACTTACATTTTTCAGCTTTTCTTTGAGCAAAGGGTTATTTGGCATTTCTTGTCTCATGGTCAACATCTCAGCTCTGCTGAAACCAATGAGTTTTTCCAAAACCTGAAATCAAATTTATAACAAATTTAATGGAATACAGAAATTTAAAATATCTGTCCTGACAGGGGCTATCATTAAGTTCAATAACTTCCTTACTTTTTATATAACAGAAAATAAATACTCTTTTCTTCCAATCTTCCTCCTATTCACAGTTCAGTGGAAAATATGTGCAGACACCTTACATTAGCTGTCAGTTAAATTGCTTTTTACTTTTAAAGAACACCAATACAACTTATCAGCATTTAAAAACATCCACTACACATTCTGATCTTTTTCCATATCATCATCAAGTGGTATATGTCCAATTAATTAATTAGTGAATTGCTATTACTGTTTTCTACCCCACTGAACAGGAATCCAGGGTTCCAGAAATTTTACACTGATCTTTCAGGTTTTCAATTCTGGGGGGAGGATATTTTCTTGTGAGATAATTATCAAACAATCAAATGACCCCCCCCAAAAAAACATCGGCTAAATAACAGGTAAAATATAGGTTAAAGGTATGTGTGTGTGTGTATTATGATGTTTGTATGTGCATGAAATTATTGTTATCCTGGTAGCTGACTTTACAGTATTGTACGTGTGTGTGTTCATTACCTGAGTGTACACATAGTTATTACATTACAATAATGTATACTGCAAGTAGAAGAGAATAAACAGATTGCATGTCTTTATTCCCACAGTAGTAGTAAAAAAACTTGTGGTGTTAGAAGTGTGGAGTGTCATGGTTTAAGAGCTGCCTATGAGAATTTTACCACATCATGCATGAACCATACTTACAAGTATCTTTGCAGTGCTTTCCTTATGGTTGGTGCTATGTTACTGTAGCTGTATGTGTAGCTTCTAATAGGTTTCCTTTGTGTAACTATTGTTATGGCTGGCATTATGATTTTATTGCTCTTATTGAGGTGTTTCTCTTGATGTTGCATATTGTAATGGTGCTACAGAATGGGAGTGGGGGAAGAGAATGTGTGTGCATGTTTCAGTTTCAGTTTCTTGGGGTGGGGTGAGGCTGAGTCCACTTGGTATGTCGGCCACTGAGGCCTACTATACTAGCCCCAGAAGACAGATGAAAGATGACAGTGGATCAGTCGGTAGAATGTGAATTGGCAGGGGAAACCGAAGTACTCAGAGAAAGCCTGCCCCAGTGCCAATCTGTCATCCACAAATCTCACATAACCTGACCTGGGCTCAAACACAGACTGCCATAGTGGGAAGCTGGCGACTAACCACCTGTGCTATGGCACAGCCTGTGTGTGCATGTTACTTATCATAAGAAATTGCTAATACTTACATCTGAGGATAATCTGGCATCTATATTCTTGGAACCATCACATAATTTCACAATTAAGTGCCATCCATCTCTTCCATATGTCATCTGGGATAATAATGTCATGATAAAGGCTTTCACTGTAAACACAGTTCGACCCTCCACTGGAGTTTCTATCTGACTCAAGTACACAAATGGGTTACTACTTGTCACTACAGGAGATGTGCAGGCAACATCTTTTCTAACAGCTGCTTGCACTGGTATTTCATAATCTTCTGGCTGAACATGCTTCTTACCTAGTTTCACTTTTAAGTTCTCATAAGAATCCAATGTTCTATTTAAATCAATATTTGGAGGCACTTGTTTATATTCCAACTGGACACCACACTGTTTTAAACATTTCAGCTTTGCATCTTTGTCTGCTTCAGATGCATTACTGCCGCAATTTGATAAACTATATGAATCAGCAGTTTCAATATTGCTCTTATTAAGGAATGAAGTTATTTTGCTCTGAGTAGTAGCGCTCTGGGCTTGGGATTTTGGAGTAACCGGTAGACCTATCCTACGTCGCTCTACTGACAGAGCTTTCATATGGGGTTCAGTCTGATAATCTTGCCTAGTAGTTAGGCTGGAACCAGTTAACTTATTCCTTTGCAGTGTAGTCTGTATTTCTGGCCTCTCCAGTTCTTTCAATGACACCTGTAACAGGATGTCATCATCATCATTCAGAAGGCATGATGGGGTATGATTTGCTGTTAATTTGCTCTCTGAAGAGGGCGGTGATGTTTCTGGCTGCATAGGAAACCGCTGATAATGCAATGATTCAAATTCCATTTTCTCAGAGCACTCTGCCTGCAAATCTCCAAGGAATTTCTGTTCAATTTCATCAATATCAAGGTTATTTAGTGAGTTCTCCATCTCCTCCTTATATTCACGTTCCAAGACTGACAGCTGGGCATCCATTTCTGCTTCTAACATCAAATCATCTTCATTTAGTAACTCCTCTTCTAGTCTTCTGTGGGCAGTTCCCACACTTCTATCAGGATTTCCCTTTGATATCTAAAACACAAAAAAGTTTCTATGTATTGATCCTATAATATGAAGGTAGAAGAACTGTGTAGATATCTCTTTTCACATAGATCTTTAAATAAAAATAAAAAATCAAATAGTCAATCCTTCTTTCTCCAAATTTTTCCAGTTACCAAGAGAATATAATTTTCAGTTTATTGTCTTCTGGGTTTATTCTCTCATCTTCTCTAAATGTATATCTAATTACTATTCATAGATCTCTCCTGCATTTCATTAACATTTCTTAACATAATTGTTAATTCTTTATAAAAATTGCAGTTGTACAATGAAATGTGCATAATTATAAATCTACAACATGCAATTCAAACTAAAAATGTCTTCTGGTTAACAATAAAAGCTACAGAGCTTCAGTTTCTTTTCTTATACAGCATAAATGCAAGAATGAACATATACGTTACGAAATAAAAACATATGACAAACATTTCTAAAAGGAACAACCTTTAGGGCAAAGTGAAACAACCATCTACAGAATTCAAAAGGTTCATGGAATTCAGTGATAAACTCAACAAAAGATTAGAATAGTATCATAAGAATCCTTAATTTTCCAAGAACAAATGTCTGACATACTGACTTGTCAATCTCACAAACGTCCAATACATCAAAAGCCTCATATTTTTTTTATTGAGGGGCCCTTTTGGTGCCATTGTGATTGCTTAACCCAAATAAAGTATGATGTTCTATTCTGCAATGTTTCAGCAGGATCTAAATGGTCCATGCATCAAATTTATTTTCCATGACAAATAGCTGTCCTAATAACCTACACCACTTTACTGATTCTTTTTACCCACACAGCACAAAAATTCTTCTCATTCCCTTTTCTGGCATCTGACCATTGGAAAATTTTGTCCTGAGATTTCAATGCCAAAGTAGAAACAGAAGACATTTTCAAACCAATAACTGGGAATGAGAGTTTACACGAAATTGATGATGATTCCGACAGCAGCCCGAAGAATTTTATGCTACTGGTTTTCAGGGGCCTGTGAAATGATGGGACAAGTGCCTCAATGTACAGGAGATTATATTGAAAAATAAAAACATTTTTCAAATCAGTACTATTATTTGTTTAAGTTCTATATCCATTTGCAACTTACTTATTGACTTACCCTCGTATTTCCTGCAACTATAGTCTGGATGGGTCATGACCACAAGCCTAGCATAAAACCATACTGGACAAAAATGTTATTTTCTGTTTCAATGTGATGACATGTGATAATTTTCTCAAAATTCAGGAAGATATGCATTCTGCAGACCCTTCAAAACCCACACATACAAGAGAGAGAAGATCTCAATCATCACAGATTATGGTAAATCAGATATTTGATATCATAAATTAATAAAACTTAAGAAATGCATCATCCAACAGGACATACTGTAGCGTGTGAAGCAATCATAAAATTCAAATGGAAAGTTATCTTTCTGCGATGCATTCCACCAAGATAACAAATTTGGAACAAAAATGTATAAATTTTAATAAAGATTTGGTTATGCATATCATGTGTGTATCTTGGTAAACAGAGAAACCTGGCTAGTACAGATGTTCCACCTACATATGGAACCATTAGTGGGGGGTGGAGTCCAGCTGGGTCCACTCAGAACAGCGGCCACTTATTGGCCTATTGTACCTGCCCCGGGTGATTATGATGATGGAGAATTTTGTGGAATGAAGATTGGCAGGGGAAATCAAAGTACTCAGAGAAAACCCACCCAGTGCCACTTTGTCTACCACAAATCCCACTTGACCAGACCCAGGTTCAAACCCGGGCTGCCACAGTGGGAAGCCAGCGACTAACCGCTTGAGCTATGGCATGGCCATATTGAACCATACTAGAAGTGGTTCAGAAATATGGAGATGAACACATAATATTTATGGACAACTACTTCCGCTCACAAAAATATCTCAATGACATGCACCAGACAAAAATTTATACATGTGGTACAGTTCATCACAACAGCAAAGAGGTGCCATATGCTTTCCATCCCAAACGTCCACAACTGGAGGGGGGGGGGAGGAAGAAGAAAAAAAAACAGACGATACATCCAAAGTACAAGAAAACCTATGGACTGTGTGCTGGAAGGACTAAAAGAAGCACAGGTCCTTCTCAATATGAACATTGCACCTACAGAGGAAAACTTCAAGGAAGGTGGGTAACCTATGAAGCCTCTGGTCATCAAAGATTATACACCCCATATCAACGTGTTGATTTGAGTAACAGAATGGCAAATAGATACAGCATAAGCACGAGAACTTCAAAATGGACAAACAAATCTTCATTTATAAGACGACACCACTTTGAATTCATATAGTGTTTAGCAGTCCTGTGGGGGAAACATGACCCATCTGAAATTCAGAGAACTGTTTAGGGATCATAGTGTTCTATCCCACAAGGATAATAGTGAAATGCATAGTGTGCCAAGGGGTCAACGCAGCAGTTCAAATACTCAGATGAACTGAAATGAAGTAAAATATTTCTTGCTGGCTAAAGGAAAACAGCGGCACTGTCATCTGTGCAAATAAAAGAAAACAGTGTGTACTGCAAGAAATGTGACTGTGTTTGCTGTTATGCCATGCTTCAAGCCAGGGCACACCAAAACCCAGTTCCGACAGTGTTGAGTGTGACAAGTGATCTACAAAACAAAAGAAATACTTCTGCTGTAGTCCATTGTAGCATGGCATAATAAAACTGTGTCTTTCACAAATTAAGTTCTATGCCTAAGGTCAGCCCCTGCAACAACATACGAACCATAATTGGGGATGATGCAGAATAATACTGTCACGTAGTATGTGTGACTAGAGACCGAGTTTGAACTGGTGAATAGATTTATTGACCATTTACAGGTCATAACTACAAATAACTAGAACACTATCAATATTTTTGTTTTATTGACGTCTGTAAATAAATGATGGCAATATATTTTTTCTAGCCTTATACAATTAGAATTAAATTCTAATTGCACAAGACTAGTAAATATATCCATCACTTTTAATTCCGCTCAAATGCCGAGTGAGAGGTCCGAAATTTCCACACTTACAAGGTTAATTTTATACCTGTAATCAAATCAACATGCAGCTGGTTTCTTAGTTTATATTTTACTCCTAAAGTTACTCCAGTTGGAAGTATAATCAACCAATACAACCTTAAAAATGTTTGGACTAAGAAATACTGCTGCACTGCATGCGAATGTGCAGCTAGACCTTATTATACATACATGTACATATTTGAATATGACATAAAAACCTGATTTGTGTTGTTCCTGGATGACGGCCTGTGAACGGTGTTTCGTATTGGAGCTGTAAGCATTTGTGTTTGTGACGTTCCAGCAGAATTTTGCTGAATAGGCAGATGTACAAAATCATTCCTTGGTACAACAGGTGGAAGTGTCACCTGCGATTTCATGCTCACATCAGTTTGTGTCCCATATGGGTCTAGATTCTGTGGCAAGTTCCTGAGAGACAACGAAGTAACCGTAAGATACTTTTATCAATACATGGAAATATACCAAAATGTTACTATTGTAATACGAAGTTGGGTAAAGATGTTATTTACTGACCAAGGGACTTAAATATCATATTTGCAGGTAACTGTGCCATTTTTGTTACATTAAACAGCAGTGAAGCAATTAGATGGTTTCTTCTTCTAATATGAAAATGGTCATATAAGAATAAGTCCAACAACAGTAGAATGTAATTAGCAAAGGAGGGACACACTTTAGTGAGCCTTTGCCTGGCAATGATAGACATGCCTATGCCTTTGCCTATGGAAACGGACTGATGGGGATTTACGAAGTACACCGCTGAAGAGGGCTCAATTGCCATGATGTACATACCAACGTTCATACAGATCAGTTTGGGCATTCGAAAGCTGGTAGGGAGGATATGCAGACACACAGACAGGATGGAGATCGCATAAGCTTGAGGAAAGTAGGCTAAAAATATATGCTAGTGTTTTGTCTCTGTCAAAATAGATATACAAGAACACTATTTTATTATTTTTAAACTTTACAATGTGTGCCTGTTATGACATAAGAATGTCATACTTTCATATGCTATAGATACTTCTTTCTTACAAACTTAATTCACAAAATACACACAGTACACAACACCACACCTACTCTTCCTGTTCCTTTCAGGTGTTTTTGTAATGCTGGCACACCTGTTGGACATGTAAGTACATACTGTCTTGGTAACAGATGTTTTCCTTTCTTTTCTTTGTTGTGGCAATTGATGGCAATGTGAATTCTGAATATCTGACACCTGAGTGTGAACACTTTTATTATTTTCAACCCCTAGCTGATCATTTGGAAGGTGGTAGGAATTAATAATGTACATCGAAAACTGCTGCAGCAACAGTTAATAAAATAATGCAATAATGAAGATAAGAACAAGAATGGTTATTGAAGAATCTGAGCATTCTTTTTTCAAGATACAGTAAGCTGGTTTCTCTGGAGATTTGCACCAGTGTGAAGGCAGGTAATCAGTCTGCTGGAATGGTGAGGGAGACAAGGAAGCTAAACTGCAGCATAAACAATACAGAGTTTAGTAAATTACAGTGCTGACTACAATAGCTACAAAAGTTTTGAATACAAAATTAGGCAAAGACTATTTCTATCACATAATTGTATCTACCCATTATCAGTCCACTGGAAGGGAAATTATGAACAGAAGAGAGACTGCAGCATGAATAATCATAATTACTGTGTCACAGTAAAGAAGGGGCAAATATGTGATGCGAAAACTAATCCTTCATACAAATTGGGCAAGAAATTTATCCAATTACCAAATTAACAAATTATATAAATACTTTTCAGCATTTATTATTATTAACAGATAAAAACATATTTTAAAAATTTGCAACTGGATCTGAATTTCAGATATCTCTTTCATTGTATGTAAACAAAATAGGTTGTATCTAGGTTGTCAAGTCATCATCATAACTACCATGTTTCAACTAATTTGGAAACTGTTAACTTACAGTACTCCTGCTAGAACATTCTCGTAGGCATTCGGTACAAGTAAAGAATCAATCTCTCCACCAAGAATTTCCAAGTTATGCTGCTCAAGCAGAAGAATTCCTCTTCGACATTCAACTGGGCCAACAATAAGCACCTTTGAAACAAAAAAAAAATATTTATACCTTCAATATTATAGTGAGGAACACTCTGAAAGGTACCTGGTACAAGAAGGGATAAATCTCCAAATCAAACATGCTGGAGTAATTTTTTTTTCATTGCTAGTGGGGTAGGACTAAGTCCCTTGTACTGTGGCCACTTCTGGCCTATTGTACCAGCCCCAGATGATAGGTGAGGGTGATTGTGGAGCAATTGGTGGAATGAAGATTGGCAAGGGAAACCAAAGAACTTGGAGTAAACTTACCCCAGCGCCACTTTGTCCACCACAAATCCCACTTGACCAGACCCCGGGATCGAACCCGGGCCGCTGCGGTGGGAAGCCAGCAACTAACCACTTGAGCTATGGTGTGGCCCTACTGGAGTAATACTACTGAAGAACTGTTCAGTATTCAACTGGATCAACAGCCACTTTAGAATAAAAGATTCAGTGTTACTGAACAGATATTTCAGGAAGGCTGGAACATCACCACTGTACTTGGGAGGTCTTAGGTTTAAATCTTGGCTCTGAGACCAGCGATTCTGACTAAGGTTCCTTCCTTGTTTGTGTGCTTCTGTCATTACTATTTCTCTCTTGTAACTCGTAACTAACTGCTGAACTCAACTGAACTATGTCACAAACACATACTGTCACTTATATAGCTGAGGGACAGACAACGCATCATCGTAAACACATGTGATCGCTACCCATCACTGCTGTGTGACATCACTGCACGTGCAGGAAACATGTCACATGACGGCCACATACTGCTGTGTGATGTCACAGCATACACGTTGCATAGCAACGGTCCATCTGCAAGCATAGAAAACACTATTCCTATACTGTTGGCCGCGTGTGTTGCGGGCATTGTCTAGCAATGGGTCTACATGCCACAATATGAAACCAGTCTCATTTCAAGAAGCCTTTGAAAGTACACAAATATGTATGCATTTTAATACACAAGCAAAAAGCAAATGTAAATACTGACTCTTACCTTACATCCTGGAAGAAGCTGCTCACTGAGTGACATGAGTGGCCTGTATTCAATCCCTTTAATATTCTGGACCCCATCACATAACGATAACTGAAGCATGCGAGTTGGACGAGGTTCCCAAGTCTGAGGCAATGTTGCACCAATTTCAACATTTTCATTAACTTGTTTACGAATTTCCTGCATTTGTGTGTAAGCAGATTGCCCCACATTTTGTATTCGTTCAACCTACATTGAAAAAAGAGAAAGTAATCAACATAGCTTGTCTAAGGCATCTAACTTCTCAGCAGGGTAACTTACTTTACTTACTCTTGGAGCGGAGCCCTTCTGGAGGAGCCGCCACTTCTGCAGCTACTCAAGAATTTCCCAGCACTTTTATGGAACCCAAAGGTTCATCACCGTGTTCACAAGAGCCCTCCACTGGTTCCTATCCTGGGCCAGATCTATCCAATTCATACCATCCCATCCTATCTCTCTAAGATCCATTCTAATATTGTCCACCCCCCTACACCTTGGTCTTCCCTGTGGTCTCTTTCCTTCTGGCTTTCCCACCAATATCCTATACGAATTCCTCGTCTCCCCCATTCGTGCTACATGACATGCCCACCTCATCCTTCTTGACTTGATCATTCTAATTATACTTGGAGAAGAGTACAAGTTATGAAGTTCCTCATTATGCAGTTTTCTCCAACCTCCTGTCACTTCATCTCTCTTCGGTCCAAATATTCTCCTCAACACCCTGTTCTCAAACACCTTCAGTCTATGTTCCTCCTCCCTTAATGTCAGAGACCAAGTTTCACACCCATACAGAACCACAGGCAAAATTATACTTTTGTATATTCTAATTTTTATGTTTTTGGACAACAGACAAGAAGACAAAAGGTTCTGGACTGAATGGTAGTAAGCATTACCCGAGTTCAATCACCTCTTAATTTCTTCCTGAATCAGGTTTCGATCTGTTATCATTGTTCCCAGATATCTGAACTGTGCCACATTTTCAAAACATCTGTTTCCTATCTTTAAGTCATGATTTTGCCCTGCATTTTTGTGATGAGACAGTAACATATACTTAGTTTTCTCTATGTTTACTTCTAGACCAACCTCTTTACTTGCGTCAATTAAAGTTTGTGTGTTTTTCTTTATGGTATCTACATTATCACCCAGTAGATTCACATCATCGGCGTAGACCAACAGCTGTGATGTTTCTCAGCAGGGTGACAGTGACTCAAAATATCACGTTGGAAATCAAAACATATTCTCTGACATTCTGAACACTTTAGGTATGTACATCTGTTTGTATTACAGTAAATTTTCTCAACTTTCAAGAATGATTATCAGTACAAGTAAGAACTATATGATAATTAATACTGTACTGTAGCACCCTGTTGCACATCACTTATTTATTCCTTGTTAGTTATAAGCTGTCTTACATGCAACTTGCTGTTTAGAACTGTTAAAAATTTTAAACTTTAAAATCTCTTCTACATCACTGGTGTCTCTAAAATTGCTGATGAAACAGCTGTGCTTCCATCTGTAGGCTCAATTTTTGGGGTATGCCCTTATCTATGTGCCCATGTGTCTTATGGTGACTATGTTGTGTGTAGCTGTTACGAATTCATAGCAGCTATACACAACACAATAAGAGGAAATTCTGTAACAAACATCCTTTTATATGATAAAAATTACAAATATGGCAATAAAGCAGATTTTTAGGTTATAACTGATGACCAGAAGAAAGCAGAAATACATATACACTGACAGAAATCACACACAGAGACATAGTGCTTTGAAATATCTGCTTGCTTTTGTATGAATAAAGTTGTGTGATTATTGATCTCTAATGTTTGCTTGCCTCTCTAGATAGCTTAATTTAAAGACAATAGACTCAAAAATTTTTCCCAAAATTACTTGTGTCCACTGAAGCAGAGACCATATTCTATAGCAAGTGTCACATACCTTCGAACAAGGCCAAGAGTAACCTTGAATGCACAAAAGAAAAATTTCAGACAAGGGGGTGGGTTTGAGGGAGGTGGAAGTGGAGGAACGAGTGTTAAGAAACTCCTCCCACCACAAGCTATGCACAGGATTTGACTATGAATGTGGGGCCTTGTTCAAAGTTATGTGACACTGTCTATACCAGACATGATTTAAATTTGTTTGATTCCATCTTTCATTTGTACAAACCCAAACTACATCTAGTGTAAAAAGACACTTTGAGATTAAAGCGTCTATGAAACTGATGTACCTGAAGGTACAGGATTACTAACTGCAAGCTCTGGTGCAATAACCATACACTCTTATCAGTGAACAATTCATAAAATAAAAATATATACTATAAACTACTTTCCAACCAAATTCAATAGGTAAACTGGCTCATACACAATTAACTTGATAAAAAATAAATAAATGAATGATAAAAACACAATGATGATTACTACTACTGCTCCTATTATTACTGCTACGACACTCCCCGTTGCTTCTACTGCTACTTCTGCTGCAATTTCCACCTTGAAATGAGAGTGGAACGGTACACTTTAGTTTTGGTAAAGAATACTGAATGCTTTCAATGTACTGTCACAGTTAATAATTAGTGGTACCTGAAACGCAGATTATACATTCCCATTAAAAACTTATACCTTAGTAATAAATTTAAAACAGTTTCTCAGTTTACCAAATTCCTGTTATTGCAATACTGTGAAGAAAGCAAAAATTATCATATGCAAATATATATTAGAATGACACTCCTAAAAAAACAAAATGTTCCTTTTTTTGTTCTATCACATGTTACTTCACTTTATATCCATCGCTTGGAATACATAACTTTTATGATTACATAATATTCTTTAAATTTGTTTTGCTTCAAATTACCAGTATCACCTATACAAAGGGAGCCAGGATAGCACAGTTGGTATAATGACTGGCTACGGGCTGGATGACCAATGGGTCGGAGCCTGAGTCACAGTAGGGTCAAGAATTTTCTGTTCTCTACGTCATCCAGAGCAGCTTTGGGCCCACCCAGCCTCCTATCCAATGGGTACCAGTGGCTCTTTTCCCTAGGATAAAGCAGGTAAGGCGTGAAGCTGACCATTCACCTCCAGCTAGTGCCAAGATCAAGAAAATGTGGCTTTATACATTCACTCCCCCATACACCTTCATGGCATAGTTAGTTAAGCACTGGGACAACTTTACCTGTTACCTATACAAAGAGTCCTGTCTTCAAGATACAATGATACACGGTCCATTGTCCACTGAGGTTTCAGAGGAACATATTGCCTCCATCTTCAGGGTCAAAGAATAAGCCAAGCAAGAAACCCACATGAAGCAGGTGACAAGCAGAGCGCTGCTTCATTATGAGGTGGTATCAGAAAGTTCCCAGACTTTTATTGTTGTTACTGCCTTGGAGAAAGAAGATGAGAAGGGAGGAAGGTCACACTTCCGCAAGCCTATTGCATCTGTCTGTCACATGACACCCCACTATGTACATGTATTGTTTTTACACAACTGCTTTTTTTACTTCATGTTTCGTTTGTCTGTGATGGATGACAAAATCAAGCAATGTGCCTTCATCAAGTTTTACGTAAAGCTCAGTAAATTCACTACCGAAACCGCTAAAATGGTTCACTAAGATTTTGGAGAACATTCTTTAAAGCCAGACAGCAGGTTTTAAAAAACATTCATGTTTCAAGACCAGTCAAGTGTCAGCTGAAAATGACAAACGTTCAGGCTGACCACGCACTAGCAAAATGCCAGAAAATGTTGAAAAATGTGTTTAGATCACTGATGGCCTGACTGGCAAATATATGGAAAAACATGTCAACCATTACATACATTAAGTGATGGAAATTTTATATAACTCTATTTAAATAAAGATAAAGGAAGATTTAAAAAGAAAGCTGTTTACCTGCAAGGCATATTTTCCTGGAAGAATTGTCATCATGATGACATTAAGGTTCAGTGGAAGACAGCCTTGTCCCATTTCCCTAAGATCTGCTAGCTTCCATTGCTCAAGCACAAAGTCCTTCAGGGCTGCTATTGAATACTACAACAATGACAATTATGCTTAAGAAACAAAGAAAGAGGCAGCAATGAGCAGACTTCATAAAGTAACATGGATGTTAAAATAAATATGTAACTCATTTAACAAGCAAATTATTTATTTAAACTGTTGAATTGACACTGGACAATTTCCATCACCTCAATTTAGTTATTTCAAGTCTGGTCCTTGTTTATAAAATCTGCACTATATGGTCCACAGACAGCAGTCAGGTAATGTCACCTTTCAAAAGAAAAAGGTTATATATAACTGCTCTAATGTAATGATGTTCATACTAACTTACGTAAATCTATCAAACGGTTTAACGGTTAACAGACAGATAATGCAAAAACTTGATGACAATCTATGCTTAAGCTCCCTTAAAAAATAAGGAAGGTAACTTAGTAAGGTTGAAAAAATTTATGCCAAAAGTGAACATGTACATAGTTCACATTCTCCATTAAACACAATGTAAACTTCTTCTTAAAAAATGTATAAAACACAAAATATTTATTTTATGCAAATCCAGAATTTGGGTGTCATTTGTTTTTTATTCAGTGGATGTTTACACATTAACATGTATTTGGTTCTTCAAACAAGACGACACACCAAACTAGCTACACAGATGAAATTCATATGTTTCTAAACTTCTCCATCATCAAACACCAAATTCAGAAGTTGGAGGATGACAGCTAGAGGAAAAGTATGATGGTCCCAAAGTCATCCATTTAACAGATATGTGCTGAGAGCATAATGAATTGTGCAATATGGATATTCAGCAATCTGTAAGGACTACATATGCCAGGGAGAGAAACAATGGATCTTGCAACCATTATACAATGACAAAGCAAATCATATATAAATACAAAATACCTGTTCCACTTTTCATATATGATATGATTGGGATGTGTCATTTATGAACGTAAAAAGACACTAACATCTTCACCTTCAAATCTCATTGAGCCTGTTATGTGAAAAGACCTTTATGAATGTAAATTACAATACGTAGCATTACTTCTTTAATTCTCTATGTAACTTCACAACTTCTTGTTAAACTAAGTTAAAGCACAAAAGTGATTAAAATTAACAGTATAAACGGTGTTTGATTTTTAGGAAACTCCTATATCTTCTTGTACACTACCATTTTATAACAATTCTGCTGCTGGTGAGTCATATTGAAAAAGTAACACCACAACCACCTTCAGATCATTTCTGACAGACCAATTTTAATTACTAATTACATCCATAGTCCATGTTAGGTGGGTTGCAGATGTAGGAGACACCCTCCAGTTTTTGAGAGAAGCTGCGAATATATTGAATATGCAGTCGTGGACAGCTGACAAGGGGTGGTCCTCCAGCTTGGGGGCTGGGCGTGGGGCTAACAACTCCTCACCGTAAAAGATAATTATGTTGTGAAAATGAACACACAGCCTTGGACCTGGACAGATTTCTTGGATAAACGACCTAAGCTAAAGAAAATGGATATGAGATTTGGCACTTGGAATGTTCGAAGTTTGTACAGGGCAGGTTCACTCAGGGCAGTGGCAGAAGAAATCTTAAAATATAAGTTAGATTTAGCGGGAGTACAGGAGGTCATATGGGATGGAGGTGGCATCGCACCAGCAGGAGGCTATACATTTTTCTATGGAAAGGGGAATGAAAATCATGAATTAGGTACAGGTTTTTTCCTACACAAGAGAATCATATCAGCAGTTAAGAGGGTACAGTTCGTTAGTGATAGGATATCATATATAATACTAAAAGGTCGTTGGTATGATATCATTGTTATGAATGTTCACGCCCCAACTGAAGATAAAATTGATAACATAAAGGATAGCTTCTATGAAGAACTAGAACATGTATTTGATAAATTCCCAACGTACCCTATGAAAATTTTGTTAGGCGATTTCAATGCCAAAGTAGGGAGGGAAGACATTTTCAAACCAACAATTGGGAATGAGAGTTTGCATGAAATGAGTAATGATAATGGAGTCAGAGTAGTAAACTTTGCCACATCAAAAAATCTTACTGTCAAAAGTAAAATGTTCCCACATCATAACATCCACACATTTACTTGGACATCTCCTTGATGCTTGATGTCCGATCATTCAGGGAAGCAGATTGTGATAGTGACCACTACCTGGTGGTGGCAAAGGTGAGCAAATAAACAACACACAGATTTCATATGGAGAGGCTCAATCTCAAGAAATTAAATGAGGTAGAGGGTAAAGAGCAGTATTGTGTTGAAATTTGAAATAGGTTTGCGGCTTAGGAAAACTTGGAAACTGAGGTGGATGTTAATAAAGCTTGGGAAACTATTATTAGAGAGAGTATAAAAATGTCTGTTAAAGAGAGTCTAGGTTATTATGAGCTGAAGAAGCATATGCCATGGTTTGATGAAGGATGCTCAAAATTATTAGATCAAAGAAAGCAGGCCAAATTGCAAAGGTTACAGGATCCAAGAGAGTTAAAGGGGGTTAATCTGAAGGATATAAGACGTGAAACCGGCAAGAATTTCAGGAACAACAAGAGGGAATATATGAAAGACAAAATTGATGAGCTTGCAATGAACAGTAAATGCTTGGTTTTCCAATTACAATTCTTCATTTTTTTCCCCATTTCCCCCGAACAAATTACATTCCTTACTTATCTCATACTCCTTGATCTAATCATCCAAACAACAGCAGGTTATGAATTATAAAGCTATTAATTATGCAATTTTCTCTGTCCTCTTACNGTTATTGAATGCACATAGGGTCAGTGATGTTAGGCAGACACAAATCCATACAGTTGAGCCGTTAGTACCAGATCCTAGCCCTTTTGAGGTTCAAAGTGCTATTGCAAAATTGAAATGGTATAAATCGGCAGGTAGTGATCAAATTCCAGCAGAACTTGTTCAAGCAGGAGGCGAAATATTATGTTCTAAGATCCACAATCTAATTACTTCTTAACAATCAAGTTCCTTCCGTCAAATGTG